CTACAAGACTGGGCCCAACAATTTCTGCTAGGATTCCATGAAACTCCATGCAAGTTTCTTGAAGTTACATTCCAAGCCAGTAAGGTATAAAAAGGAAATAAAAATACCTATACATTTACATTTTTAAGGTTTTTCAAACTGTATGCTATTGGCTAATGTTATTTGTGAAGCATTATTTGTGATTCCTCAAATATTATGCATTTAAAATAGCTTTGATCTTTTTATCCTTGCATACCTCGAACCTCACAGAGCTGAAAATTCAGGTATCTAAGAATGCAGAAGATGCAAAAATTCAGAACAGCAAATGAACCAGCCTTTGAGATACTGCATGGTAAATCAATTGGCTGTGAGTTAGTAATGAATGGAGCCCTAAAAATCAAAATGGAGACAAATGTGTTCCTTCAAAAGATTTTACGGCTGTGCTGCAGAAGCTGGGACAGACATGGTGCCGGACATTTCAGTATGAATCTATTATTCAAGGAATGCAGACCTACAGTTTTGTCAGAACTGTCACTGTTTCTTCCATGTTGTGTTCCACTCCTGTCATGAGTGGTGAAGAAGCACTTTCATTTGCAAATTCTTACTCACTGTGGATCTTGTGAAGGGAGTGACTCAATTCTATTCAGTGCAAGCCAAACTACATAGGTATGAAAGTCTGATCCTCGGCTGCTCACTGGCATTCTGGTCCTCTCCCAGACGATGCCTCAGTGATGTGCAACACCCATTTCTGAACCCAGAAAGAATGGAAACTTTCTGATCCCCTTGGGTAAGTGGGTCTGAGACAGGCACTCACCTCTGTGGAAGGTCGATGGAAGCTGCTGCCATGCAGTGAACTCGTGCTGTCCATATTGATTTGGTCCACATCTTTCAGTCCTTTCCAGTCTACTGCAATCACCTCATTTCCTGTGGGAACACATCTGGTCAGGCTTCTGAATACCACTATAATTTATTCCATCCATCTTAAGCCAACTCAGCACAGCAAACAGGAGAATTACTCAGTTTAATGCCACAACAGCCCTAAATCAGACATTCTGATTTTAACTGGACCACCTGTACATCATCAGCTATTACATTTCATACAGCTATCTCCATATGAAGACTAGTCATTTGTGCTTTTCTCAAGCATAATGTATGCTTGGCTAAAGCACAGCCTCATCCAGTCATGATGTGTGACTGAGAAAGCACCAACTCTTTTGATATCCCCTTCCAATATTAAACCATCATCACATAGAAAGGTATTTTTCCATTATGATTTGAATTGGTCTGACATCAGCTTAGACCTGCTGGTGTCCTTGCTTTGCCATTCTCAGCAAGATTAAAGACCTTTGTAATACCTGCCATTACATTTCAAATTTAAAATATTAATAGCATAAAATACAAATTGTAAAATTTAATTAAGATTAAAAAATAAAATACTATTAAACTGTCATAACAGTGAAACTAAATGCAAAGAAGCACACACAAATAATCAGCCAAGTAACCAGGACTGCTTCAGTTAGCGATCTACTGTGCCTTCAGCCTTTGTGTCATCCTCAAACTCTTTTTAAAGTTATTTGCTGCCATGTCATGGAGGAACAATTGTGCTGTCTTTAAACCTGAGCCTCTTAGAACCTGGCAAGAAATATAGCTCCCAAAATGATCATCTATTCCTGCGATCAATTCAGCAATGTCTAGTCTATTTGGAATACATGCCATTGAATGTGAATGGTTCTATTTTCATGTGCTTTTAGCTTCTCATTTATTCTTTATAGCAAATTTCTCCTCCACAGACATGCAAACTCCCTTGCTCGTTCTAGCAGCTCTCACGCTTACACAATGCTCATCACTGTTCTTGCCAGGTAGAAATCTTCTGACAGGCAAGAGAAGCTGCACTCCACCCCACACAGGCCTGCAGGAGCCATGTAGATACTTAAGGGTGGGAATCCCGAGGCATTCATAAGCTAGAATTCAAAATGCAAAAAATAATTTGGCCCCCTAAAAGCCCAAACATGACAATATGAGAAACATCAGAAAGCAAATGCAATTTGAGTTGGTGTCCTCATAACTTGTATTTTTCCTCTGCGCAAGATCTCTTTCTGAAAGAACTAAGGGATATTTTTCCCCTTCATGCTCAATGTTTCTGTTCATCAGGATCATTAGAACCAAGTGCTTTAATAGCATCCTCCATATGCTTCTAACTAGGCTGAGTGAAGTCGCTGTTCTCTGAGTTGAAGTTCCCTGCAACTCAGGGAACATAAAAGAAAAAGGATTCCTGTACTGTATGTTACAAAGGTCAGCACAGAGGTCAGACACAGACAGACTCAGGAGAAGACAGGATATGACATGGCTATAATGAGCATTACAAAGACCACCTTTGCATGCATTTGGCCTCACTGAGCTCCTGCTGACTGTACTGCCACCGATCAGACTGGCAATCTTGAGTCCAGGAAAGCAAGAGAGTGAGATTCGTGGTAAACTCTTATTCAGTAGAAAGGAGTGGCCTTAATGGGCCACTCATGAGCTGCATGTTCCCGGCGTGGCTAGAGACCAATTAGATCTGGGGTCCAAGCAAACCTTCTAGGGCTAGAAATATCTTTGGCAAACGGAAGTGCCAGGCAGAGCTGTGAAAGCCCAACTGATAGTCTCAGGTACATCAGCTATTAGGTTTGGTTGTGGCTTAGAATAGAACACACCGGTATTCAGTCTCCCTTAAAAAGGGAGGGGGTAAAGGGGAGAAGAAAGGGGCACTGCCAGGAAGTGCAAATCTAGAAGAGACAGGTATGGAAAGGAGTGGAGGAGCTGACTGTGATCAGGGTGAGCTGAGGGATCAACAGGAATCAGTGGGAGGATGAAACTGGAGTGAAGAGCAGAGAGAGAGCCTGTCCCTGCATGATGGGATCCCCTTGCCTTTTCTTTCTGTGCTCCTACTCTCCATCTGCAACTCTTCACACTAGAAGAGGAAAGCTGGGGCAATTCTGCCACAGAGCTGGTCAAGACAGGAATGCTGGAGCGGCAGGAGAGATGCCACCTCTCCAGAGCAGAAAGCAGCTGTACAGAAGTCTTCAGTGTGGGAAGCAGTGTCATGCCTGTTTTATCTCCATTTACCCAAGGTCTTTTTCCTGTACTCTCAGCTGTTTGTGAGCATAGTGCTGTGGCCCTTCTGTAAGTCTAGACAGACATGCTGGCATACACTGCAAACAGACTGCAGCACTGCTCTGCAAATGCACTGCAAAGGCCTTCCCCTGCCAAAGAAAGAGACCAACCTCAGGGAGCCTGGTGCTCAGCACATGTGACTTGACAGCCCCAGAGTTTGGCAAATGACACTCAACCTTTGCTTTCAATTCTGCTAGCCCTCTGATGGTTTCCTAGAAGTGTCAGATTGTGGAAAATACTCATAGAATCACAAAATGGTTTGGATTGGAAAGGACCTTAAAGACCACCTAGTTTCACCCCTTTCCATGGACAGGGACACCTTTCACTAGACCAGGTTGCTCAAAGCCCCATCCAAACTGGCCTCAAATATTTCCAGAGATCGAGCATCCACAGCTTCTCTGGGCAACGTATTCCAGTGCCTCAGCACCCTCAAAGCAAAGAACTTCTTCCTAATATCTATTTTAAACCTGCCCTCTGTCAGTCTGAAGCCACTCCCTCTTGTGCTATCCCTCCATGCCCTTGTAAAATGTCTCCCTCCAACTTTCAGGCCCCCTTCAGGTACTGGAAGGTGCAATAAAGGTCTTCCAGGAGTCTTCACTTCTCCATGCTGAAATTAACATTATTCTGGCAGATGATGACATCAAACAGTTGAAGAACATTAACATCAAACAATTATTCGTCTCAAAGTCCATACCCGTTTCATAATCAAAGAACCAAAGGCCTATAGAATTTATTTATCACTGGTTTTCTCCAGTTGAAATAGCTGATCTACCTAGTACAGGGAAAAGAATGAGTAATATGTGATTTTCCACCTCTATAAAGACTGAGTAATTATTGAAAATAAATTCTTTGGCTAAACAGTTTCACAGGTACTAAGACAGTTAAATGCTTTTAAATGCTTTTTAAATATCTGCTGTAGACTTGTAACATCACACACAGGTTGAAAAGAAAAATCTTTGTGCTCTAACTGATGTTGAGCCTGGGGCAACAGTACTTTCTCTTATTGAAAGTTGGATAAAGGCTAGTGGGTTTTTTCCTCTTCCCTTAGAAATAGCAAGAGCAACATTAATCCACAGACATGAAAGATCAAGTTCTGATCTGATAGATGGAAGGAAAGAAACATGGAAAATCAGAAAAAAAAGTATGGACAGTGAAGTGGGAAAAGAGAAACTGAAAGCAGCACGTATTATTTTAGTATTGTTTTAATCCAACCCCTTGTCAACCTCTTTCTCCCTTCAGTTACTATGGAGCTTTTCTCTTTTGCAATGATACGTTTGTTCTCCAATATAATTTTCTCTTATTCACCTTTCATTCCAGCTTCTGTTAATCATCATAACTATTCCATTTGTAATTCTATCATCAATCACCTCTTACAGAACACTATTTGCTCTTCTCCATATAGAGCTGATAAGCATTTTAAAATGAGTGGGTCATAAAACTAATTTTAAAGTGGGATTTTACAAACACATGCTATCAAATTTCCCCTTTAAATGTTCTGAAATAAGATGATGAAAGTTCAAAGATAACTCTCTTTCTGATTTCTTTGTCATTGTTTCTGTATGGTGTGTATATAAAGGATATAGACGGGATTCATTTTCAAGGAACTTTAAAAACATTTCTTTGTTTCATTTCAAAATTTATTATTTGTTTTGGGGTTTTTTAACATCATAAATTCCCTCCTTACTCTAGAAGACTCAGTAGATGACAGAAGAACATGTAGGAAGCTGATTACATGAAGTGGTGAGAGAAAACCAAAGCAGTTGAAATACATAAATACATTAAGTCACATTCTTGCAGATCATGGTTGCTTTCTATTTTTTAACACAAATTAGGAAAAAAACCTCTGGAAAACACTCATCAGAAAAAGATGTCTCCATTACAACTGAAATAACATTCCAATCCAAGTCATTTAAGCCTTTGGGGGAATATATCATCCCTTTTTCTCTCAAGTGCTGACTATTCAGGTAAAAATCAAGGTTTATTTTTAAGTTGAGCCTTTCTAAATAATAAAGATGAAAAACACTTAAAGAGGAAAAAAATCCTTACACCCACTTTTTTGTTTTGTTTTGGTGTTTTGAGCATCGTAACTTTGGACTCTCGGAAATTAGAAAATTTATGTACCAAGTGTTCCCAAGCAAAGTGACCATTTTGATGAATGCACTGGAAAAATCCAAGAAACCAACCGGATGACTGTATCCCACCTTGCTGATCTAATATTAGTACTTTTTTCCTATTTCAGTAGCTCACTTTGCCACATAATTTATCATGGAAACACAGAATTTCTTAATTGGACATATTTTCAGTTTCTTTGCATTTCTGTGATCATAAGAAATTCATCTTGTTTTGAATTACTCATTACTTAATCTAAACAAGTCCATTCTCCTTGGGTGTCCTCTTGACATTTCCTCAATTGCTATTACCACTGTGCATTCGTTGATACTATATTTGGCACCTGTGCCTGTATTTTGTTCATTTACAAGGTACATGCTTGAATCAGGCATCTGCATCAATGCCTTTAATCTGCATCTACAGTCTTTAATAATCTATTGTGTTGCAACTTCTGTGCTGGATGTTAAACATCATCTCCAATTTGTCTTCTCTACTTTGTTCCACACTAAGTAGACAAACACAGTTTTTGAGTCTTAAATTCTGTTTCTTCCTTCCAGATATCATGATGGTGAAGATATACACCATATAACAAACATGTATTTGTGTCATTTGCTTCCATGCCAAGGAACGTAAGAAGAAACATAGTAATTAAAGAAT